GTAATCTTGCCAGGATCACCTTGGGCGACCCTGGGAAGCTGGCGCCGAAGAAATATCTGGCGATGACCAGGAAAAATCTACGCCTTACAGTAGGATTTCTGACTGGCCACTGTCAGCTAAGGAAACACCTACATAATATGGGGCTAGTGGACACACCTCTATGCAGGATGTGTGAACAGGAAGATGAGACTGTCAGGCATGTCCTGTGCGAGTGCCCGGAGTTATCGTCAATAAGAGAGTGTGTGTTTGGCGAGTCTTGGCCTACACCTGCCGATATAAAGGAGATGTCTCCCAGTGACCTGTTCACCTTCCTGGAGAGGATAGGATAAACGATGACCTAGGAGGACAACTCCACAGGAGCATGTACAATGAGTCACATGTGGCCTAAGTGCTGTGGGCTTACACTCACCCTCCCTACTCTACAGATACAGAGTCGGTTGGTCGTTAGTTAAGCGGTTCGGCGTGTGTGCTTTTATCACTCACTCGAATTGAGTGAATCCATAGATTGGTGTAATAAGCTCCCGGGAATGAGGCAGGCGAAAAAGTTCATAGGGAAACCGTCGCCCAAATACACGGAAGACCTGCTCAACGACAACCGTAAGGTTGTAGGCGTAGTGGTGGGTCTACTAACGGGGCATAGCTGACTCAGGAAACATGTGCAACATGGGTCTGACAGAAGAAACTCAATGCAGTTTCTGTCAAGATGAGGAAGAAACCGCATTGCAGGTGATCTGTAAATGCGATGCGATAGCAAGGCTGAGACACACAAGACGCGGGAAAGAGAAACCAGCGGCTAACCAGCTATATGAAGGAGTCAGTGTCAAGGCTATGGAGTGTCATCAAAGGGATCAAGCTAGACAATGAGCATCACAATAGATCTGAAAAGATCGCAGTGAATCAGGCCAGGGGCCAGCTCCCCGACAATCTAATCTAAATCGTTATTCACATCTTCTTGATCTTCTGTGAAAAGCCTGTACCTGTAACATTTTTCTGACTCAGTGTACAATTACCATATGCCACTGTCAACATTTCAGGTGATTTTTCACTCAATTCCAGAATTTACAGAAAACTTGAATATTACTGGAGTTTTTTCCCAACACCAAATCGTTATTTTTACACCTCGACACGTGTTTCGATCACCAAGTGATCATCTTTTGCGTTTTTGTAAAACAATTTAGTGAAAATCTCACAATAAAGTGTTTTTGGAATACGTTAGTTATGGATTTTCATCAAGTATCGGCCGATTCCATAATATATAGTTCTGGATACCCTAATTAACCACCTCAACAATAATGGATTCTACACAATTGCATATGCAGATGACATGGTTATCTTGCAGACCGGCAAATCTGTGAACACACTGTGAGATAGAGCGCAGGATAGGCTCAAATTAATAGAAACATGGTGTAAAGAACACTCACTGTCGATCAATCCCAAGAAGACTGAGATGTTCCTTTTCACCAGGAAAAGAAGTTTATTGGGCTTGAAACCTCTCGAAATCTTCAAAAGCGAACTGAACTTCTCTAAAGAGGTGAAATACTTTGGTACTATCCTTGATAGGAAGCTAACATGGAACTCTCACCTACTGAGTAGAGTAAAAAGAGCATATGCGGCTTATGAGCAATGTCGGAGGAAAATGGAAAGCGCATGGGGTCTTTCACCGGGGTGACCAACCGGGGCCATT